TACAACATATTTCACCTTTTTCCCCTTATATTAGGGGGGCATAGTGATATTTACCTTTTAAGCTGAGCAGGAGATTGTTTGAAACCACACGCAACTATTTCCATTGACCTTTAAAGTTCCAGACAAATGTTTTCATTTATTTTAGCTTTTGGTTAAAGATGTTTTGGTGGTTACATAAAAAAATGATTAGAAAGTATTTCAGACAAAAAGTGGTATATAGAGAAATTAACACATCCAAGTACTCCAAACCCAGTTTGAGAAATAAAAATGTAACCAGTACAATTGAAGCCCTTCCAGAATATATTTCTCTATGGCTTCTTGAAGAGATAATCATCACCCTAAATTTGATGGTTATCATCCCTTTGCCACTTAGGTACTTTTTTTACATGGTCTAAAAATTTGACATAAATGACTTGTCTTTTTGAATTAATTTTAAAATGTCAGAGCAGTGACTGCTGTTAGAACTTTTTTAGCCTAATCACCTATGACTGGACATGTTTCTCTGCTTTACTGTCCTCATTTGTGAAGTTGGGGATAGGTCTACATGATTTCTGATGTCTTATTGGCTGTCATTAAAAAATTATTCTTGATTACCTCTTGTTTTCCATATGAAACAAAATGAAACAAAACAAAGACACAACAGAGAGGCTAAGTAACTTGCCCATGGCCATATAGTAAGTCACAGAGCAGGGAATAAAACTCAGTTCTCTGGACTTTCATTCAGACACTCTTTTCTTCATACCACATTGCCTGCCATTTTTTGTGATGATTCTTAAGAAGAGAGAGAGAGGGAGGGAGAGAGAAAGGGGAAAGAGGAGGGAGAGGAGAGGAGGGAGGGAGAGGGGAGAGAGAAGAGAGAAAGATTTTTTCCCCTCAGATATCTTTTTTCTGTAGGGAAAAACACTGTAGCCTTATCAGCCTGGAAGCTACTTATAGAATTAGAAGACTGTGTGTCCTGCAGAGCTTGTGAATCCTTTCTATTTTTCTGGATTTTCCTGGAAAGGAAGTTTGGATATAATGTGGCTTTCACTAGGCTCCTTACCCTACAGTTAATTTTCCGATCTCGTCAAGGTAACTGGACCAGGAAAATAGGGATGGGCACAAACACAAGTGTCTCTGTGGATGTACATGTATCCAAATTTCAATATATTTTAGCAGTCAGGACTTTAATAAATTACTCTTTCTTTTTTATGTAGTTTATGCTATGTTCAAATCACAAATGCCTTTCTATTTGAAAATGAGTTTGTTTCTTGTTTCTATTTAGCGGCCAACGTACCAGAGTACTAAAGTGAAAATAGCACAAATAGAATAATGTAGAAACACGTTTTTAAAATCTCTTTGGAGAAAAACCCCATTCTAAAAATGGCAACTTAGAATTACATGCATGTACTTTCTCTTTCAGGTTTTTACTCTAACAAATTTAATTCATTCTTAGTTGAGATGACTAAGCTTGAGTCATAATATTCACATAGTGCCATGCCTCTCCTGTGAAAATATAGCAATATAACCGGAGGTTGAAGTTATGTATCTTATTGTAAAACCATATTTTCCCAAATCTCTTGCTTCAATATCAAAAAGTTAGTTTAATAAATTATTGCTTCCTTCTATAAATACATACTTGGAAACTTATAATAGTAGTACTCATTCTCTCTAGGGTGAATGAAGCTGCTAATAGTAGCTCTGTCAGTACTGTATATATTCTCAAGGTAGTTATGTTTTAAAAAGCAAACAAGATAACACATTTGTCTCTGAGAATTTTAGGTCAAATTATCTTACACTTTCAGCAGCTTTTAGTAGGAAATTACCCCTGGAATATTAAGGAAGGGAGGAGGGATCTAATGTAATCAAATATGAGTGTTCAGTACACCTTTTATTTAGGCATTGCTTTATTTGCTCACATTTACTACATACGGGTTTTCCCTGATAAAGCCTTTTTTTGAGAATGTGTATGAGAATATTTGAAAAGGCAATTTTTTGTCTGATTGAAATTTCTGGTGAACATCTGTAATACATGGAATTTTCTACATGGGTTAAATTTCCCCATGTTGCTCCAGCAGGTAGATGTAACTCAAGAGAAAAGATGTGGATAAATGAAACTAGCCAATAATGAACCTGTTTCTCCCTGGCCATAATATGAACCTGGATGATGGTGGTAAGAATATTGAATCTTAAAACTAGCAATGCTAAACCAGAGAGATCCTAGCGGGACACAAGAATATGTAGTCATTGTATAGTCGACAAATGTTACTTCACTCTCTTAGATACAATAGCTCTCTGTAGAAAGGTGGTATGGTGTTTATAGAAACAACAACAGAATGTGGAAATTTTCTTCTTTGGCCATACCTACTACCAGAATTATGGGGTCTTAAATATATGTACTGTTTCTACTCAGTTCTTAATGACTTTACTTTGGACCAAGTTGAGATTATTTCAAAACTAGCATTGGTTGTATATTTTCCATTGACACAGATAATACACAATTTGTAGTTAGTCTTTGGATAAAAGGGGTAGAATTTTCTTTTACCGTTGATATATTTGCATGTTGTAAAAATTTGTTCATGTCCTGTTTTGAATTCCCAGCTCTTTAGGATTTTTCCATTATTTGACTCATAGGGCATTATGTTACTGTTGTGCTTATTGTTCCTGAGGTATAGATATTCAACATACATTTATTGAGTTTTTGTCATGCTTAAGGCACATGGAGTAGATTCAGGTATATAGTTCCTGCTCTCAGGGGGATAATAATTGATATGGTCTTTTACCAGTAATTTAACAGATTATATTTTCTTAAGATACTATGTTAATGTGATTTTATTAATATTACTATATTGGGACTTTAAAGTAAAAAGAAAATATATTTAGTTTTCCTTTGCTGTTCACCTTTTTTTTTTTTTTTTTTTAAAGAGACAGAGTCTTGCTCTGTTGCTCAGGCTGGAATGCAGTGGTACAGTCATAGCTTACTGTAGCCTTGAACTCCTGGCCTCAAGCAATCCTCCTGCTTTCAGACTTCTGAGTAGCTGGGACTACAGGCATACACCACCTTGCCTGGCTAATTTATTATTATTATTACATTTTTGAGATGGGGTCTTGGCATGTTGCCCAGGCTGGTCTGGAACTCCTGGCCTCAAGCAATCCTCCTGCCTTGGTCTCTCAAGTTGCTGGGATTACAGGTGAAAGACACTGCACTTGGCTCTCTGTTCACTTTTTGAAAAAATGCTTGGAATTGTAATTTGAGGCAGCCAAAATTATATCGTTCTTAGTGTATATCTTGAATAAGTAGAATGACATTTGCTAAATTTAAATCAGTTTTTAAAAAATATGATCTTAGAATTTTTCTTAATACTCTAAAATATTTTGTTTAAATTAAAATGCAAATTTAGTTATCTTTCTACAAATAAAAAAATTATTGCCATAACAGTGTTTTGTGAAAAGTGACCATTATGTTGTTTAATCTAGCAAGAAACGGGTTCGTTTTTCTAAAACTCAACTAACAAAGTCTGAGTTGAAGTTAGGAAGTACACTGAGAATAAAGGTAAACAATGTTTTTAAAAATGTTCGTGTTTTGGTTTTGACCACACATTGGCTTTAATGCTGATATTATTGAACTTTTATTGTAGCAATGAATAAGTTTTTATAGCTCACCAATGTTTATTAAAAGATCCTAAGAATAATTACCATTTATCTCTCACAACAAGTGGGTTGTTAAATTTTCCGGCAGATTTGACCAGTACAGATAGATGTTTTAGATAAAAAGTTTAACAAAAATACCACCAGTTTTCCTATAATAATTGCAATCTTTCTGGACTTTATTGTGTAATTTCTTCTATTTTTTTATATGTAGATGGAGACATAAGTTTCAGTTTATAAGTATTGAAATTAGCAGTGGAAATATAATTCATATCTTGTTTAAAGCATTTGCGTGATATAACAAGGTCCTTTTGAATTTGGTGATCTATTGGATTTTACATTATTTACACTTTTCTCAAAATAGGAATGTGAATTCCGAAATAAGTCTTTTTCTAATTAGTTAATTTTGAGATGTGTATTTTATATAAGATTTATACTTAAAAAAAGTTAAACACATTAGTAATACCTGGTAGAAGGTTCAGTGGATTATGCCATGAGAGTTAAACTGATGCCATTCTCAGTTGTAAAGGTAGTTTTTTCGGACTGGCTGAAGTTTACTGATTCGAGGGAATAAAAACATGATATTATGGAACTTTGAAAGCTGCATACCAACTGATGTTAGTAATAAATCCAGAAGTCACTGAGATCCTATTTGTATTTCAGTTCCAACATTAAATTTAATTGTATTTTGAGTTCTGATAAATAGTTTTAAAATTCTGAAAGTCTTACATTTTATAGTAAGAAACTAGTGAAAAGCAATATTTTTATATACAGTATATATGATCAAGATTTTTGTTCTTATATAATATAAGCTTGCCTAATTATTTTTCCTCCTTAAAAAAAGTATAAAAACCCCTTAATTTATAAATGTTCCTTTTTATAAAAATAATAAAGTCCTATTATCATTATATGTGAAGCACATTTCATGTATTATTTAATCCATTTATATGAAATGGGAAACTCCAATTTTACTGACTGGAGGCTCAAACATGGTTAAGTACTTTGCTCAAGTCATATACAGTCATGTCATTTTATTGTGCTTCCATTTGTTGTGCTTTGTACATATTGCATTTTTTACAAATTGAAGGTTTGCGGCAACCTGTATCAAGCATGTCCGTCAGCACCATTTTTCCAACAGTATGTGCTCACTTTGTGTCTCTGTCACAATTTGGTAATTCTTGAGGTATTTCAAACTTTTTATTAGTATTATATCTGTTATGATGATCTGTGATTGGTGATCTTTGATGTTATTATTGTAATTGTTTTGGGGCACCACAGACTGAACCCGTATAGTACAGTGAAGTTAGTTAATACATGTTGTGTGTGTCCTGACTGCTCCACTGACTGGCCATTCACCTATCTCTCTTTTTGTGCCACCCTATTCCTTGAGACAAAAGAATATTGAAATTAAGCCAGTGGATAATCCTAAAATGGCTTCTACATGTTCAAGTGAAAGGAAGAATGGCTCTTGCTTTAAATCAAAAACTAGAAATGATTAAGCTTAGTGAGGAAGGCATGTTAAAAGCTGGGATAGACTGAAAGCTAGGGCTCTTGTGCCAAGTTGTGAATGAAAAGGAAGTTCTTGAAGGAAATGAAAAGTGCTACTCCAGTGAACACATGAATGATAAGAAAGTGAAACAGCCCTATTGCTGATGTAGAGAAAGTTTTAGTGGTCTGGATAGACCACAACATTCCCTTAAACCAAAGGCTAATCCAGAGCAACGCTCTAACTCTTTTCAGTTGTGAAGGCTGAGTGAAGTGAAGAAGCTGCAGAAGAAAAGTTGGAAGCTAGCAGAGGTTGGTTCATGAGGTTTTAGGAAAGAAGCCATCTCTAGAACATTAAAGTGCAAGGGGAAGCAACAAGTACTGATGGAGGAGCTGCAGCATGATGTCCAGAGGATCTAGCTAAGATCATTGATGAAGGTAGCTACACTAAGCAACATATTTTCAATGTAGATGAAACAGCCTTTTGTTTGATGAGGATGGCATCTAGGACTTTCATAGCTATAGAGGAGAAGTCAGTGCCTGGCTTCAAAGCTTCAAAGGACAGGCTGACTCTCTCTCTTGTTAGGGGTTAATGCAGCTGGTGACTGTAAGTCGAAGACAACGCTCATTTACCATTCCAAAAGTTCTAGACCCCTTAAGAATTATAGTAAATCTACTCTGCCTGTGACCTATAACTAGAACAACAAAGTCTGGATGACAACATATCTGTTTATAGCATGGTTTATTGAATATTTTAAGCCCACTGTTAAGATGTACTGCTGAGAAAAAAGATTCCTTTCAAAATACTACTGCTCATTGACAATGTACTTGTTCACCTAAGAGCTCTGATGGAGATGTACAAGGAGATTAATGTTGTTTTCATGCCTGCTATACAACATCCATTGTGTAGCCCATGGATCAAAGAGTAATTTCAACTTTCACATCTTATTATTTAAGAAATACATTTTGTAAAGCTATAGCTGCCCTAGGTAGTGATTCCTGTGATGGATTGGGCAAAGTAAATTGAAATCCTTTTGGAAAGGATTCACCATTCTAGATGCCATTAAGAACATCCATGATTCATGAGAGGAGGTCAAAATATCAAAATGAATAGGAGTTTGGAAGAAGTTGATTCCAACCCTCATGGATTACTTTGAGGGGTTCGAGACTTCATTGGAGGAGGTAACTGCAGATGTGGTATAGATAGCAAGAGAACTAGAATCCGAAGTGGATCCCGAAGATGTAACTGAATTGCTACAATCTCACAATAAAAATTGAGTGGATGGGGAATGCTTCTTAGGGATGAGCAAAGAAAATGGTTTCTTGAGTAGAATCTACTCCTGGTGAAGATATTCAGGACATTGTTGAAATGATAACAACAGATTTAGAATATTTAGTTGATATAGTAGCAGCAGGATTTGAGAATGTTGGTTCCCAATTTTGAAAGAAGTTCTACTGTGGGTAAAACGCTATCAAATTGCATCACAGGCTACAGAGAAATCTCTTGTGAAAGGAAGTGTCCATTGATGCAGCAAACTTCATTGTTGTCTCATTTGAAGAAATTGCCACAGCCACCCCAACCTTTGGCAGCCACCATCCTGGTCAGTCAGTGGCCATCAACATGGAGGGAAGATTAGCAAAAAGATTATAACTCACTGAAGGCTCACATGATTGTTAGCATTTTTTAGCAATAAAGTATTTTTAAATTGAAATATGTATGTTTTTAAAGACATAATGCTATTACACACTTAATTGACTACAGTATAGTGTAAACCTAAATTTTATATGCACTGGGAAACCATAAAAATTCATGTGACTAGCTTTATTGTGACATTTGCTTTATTGCTGTGGTCTGAAACTGAACCCGCAGTATCTTTGGGGTATGTCTGTAGTTAGTGAGTGACAGAGCAAGGATTTGAACTGAAGTGTGTGTCACTTCAGAGCCCATTCCTAGTCTATGCTGATGTCATTGGTACTTATCAAGTAACTCATTATACTATCTTTTGATTAGATTATGGGTCAAATCACATTCTCACAGGT